CAAATATAATTTTCACTTGAACTTACAAGTGTCTAGTATATATAAGTCTCCAAGGGGGTTCATCCCATCTATCCCACCAAACACGAACAGATTCTCTCCAATTGTTGTACAAGTATGACTGTCCCTAGGAGATGGTAGAGTTCCCTTAATGCATGGCTGGCTCACTCCACGTTTGAGTATCTACAAACCAACAGCAAAAATGAGATGATGAAGAAACCTCAAAATATACATAAGGAAAAGTTAATAAATATGAAGAATAAAAAAAATGAACACATATCAAAGACTTGCATTTCCTAAGGACTGCAGTAAGCGACATTTTACAAGTGAACACATATCAAAGACAACAGCTTCACTTGAATACAACAGCAAGCTCAAAAGTCACAACAACAAGCTCAAAATTCACAAGAACAACAGACTAAGACCAACCGCCCTTCAGCCTCCTTCTGGTTCAAACCCATTTTCTCGAACTCACAACAACAGGCAAATTAACCCTAAAATTATGTAATTACAAAGAAAATCAACGACTAACCCTATATTGCGAAAGAATTCAATAGAATAAGAAGACCCAAAATACATCTTACCTCGAAGCTGCTACAATGAAGGTGAGAAAACCCTTGAATTCGCTTCAATAGATCGGGATGAGAAAGCTCTGAATGCGTTTCAATATAGGAGGGCTATGGAGAGAAAAAAGAAATTGACCTTGGCGGCAATGGAGGTGAGAAAGCTCAGAGTGCGCTTCAATGAAGGACAGTAATGGTGATGCTAGGCGAGAACGAGAGAAGGAACGAAGAACTCAATGTGGAAAAGTAGGGGAATGAATTGAAGGAATAAGAAAGGTTTCACGAAGTAATTAAACTTAGGCGATTTTCTAGGTTAAATTGCGCACCGGTTCGAACCAGTCCTAAATAATCTTTTCCCCCCAGTTTATGCTGAACCGGTGCGAAATCTCTTCCTTCCCCTATTTTTTTTTTTTTTTTTTACAAAACATTTTGGCACCGGTTCAAACCGGTGGGAAAAAACAACATTTGGCACCAGTTTATAAGGAATCGGTGGGAAAAGTAATTTTCAGAATCCCGTCCATTTCTATTCCCACCGGTTTTCAATAACCGGTGCGAAAAGGGGGGTGCGATTTTCATTTTTTCTACTAGTGAAACTTGCAAACATATAATTAAAGAATCCCTAGAATGAATAACAATCAAAATCACAAATACACAAACAAATGATCAGAAAAACCCTAAATTTCGCAATCAAAATCACAAAAAACTTGTTATAAAATCGAAAGTAAACAAAGAAATATAATGATAACAAAAATCAAACCAGAAAAACTAATTGGCAATAAATTTTCTTGAGCAATGAGCAAAGATGAGAAGTTGGATTTTGAGAAGTGCTGCGAAAATCAGAAAAATCGCAAGAGACAATTTACAAGAGGAGAGAGAAAATGTAATGAAGATAGAGAAAGTGAAAATGAAAACTGAGAAGATTGAGGGTAGTCATTAAAGTTGTGAAATTACACATTTAACCTTAATGAGGCGGGTTGATAAGAGCCGTCAGATGACCTCAATTCAAAGGTCTAGATTTGTTCTCACATAAGTTGGGATTCTCACATGATCCCATTTCTATATATATATATATATAACCCCTCCCTTATGTGAGACCAGTTTCTTATGTGAGAACAAATCTAGACCACTGATTACATTTCATTTGAAGGTTAACATTAATTGATGAGTAATGGCATTTTCGTAATATTATGTAACATATACCCTCAATCTTATTATTCACGTCATTTGTTTTATCTCCCCAAAAACATTCAGTAACCTTTCATATACCCATCTCTCTCTCTCCTCCATTGAAGCAGATTCTTAAGACTTGTTTCCTCCATTGAAGCGAAATCTAAGCTTTTTCTCTCCCATTAAAGCGACCTCTAAGCTTATTCTCCTCCATTAAAGCGATTTTTAAGGTAATCATCACATATTACAAAACATAAAAATAAAAAAATTCCAATTAAAAATGTCAAGATTAATTGAAATTCATAAATTATAACTTACTGGATTGTCGATTAGGAAGTTAATGTTGTTGATTCCGTTTTTAATTTGTGTTGTTTACTAACATCCCCTTGTTTTCTTTAGATTTCAAGATATTTTTCTCTGTTTTTTTTTAAATCACGAATTTCAATTTCACTAGTTTATCGTTAAATGCTTTTGTTAATTTAGGGTTCTTTATAGTGTAATTCGAACTTTTATTTATAATCTCTGAGGTTATGAATAGTTATAGAGATTGATTTTGTCAATTTTGGTACTTGCATTTCACTAATTTGTACTTAAATTTTGATGCACACTAAGTGTTTGACAATATTCCCCAATGAATCCTATTATTTTATCAATTTCAAATGTAGTACATATTTAATTGATGATCTTCTTATTTAATATTCCCCAAGATTGTTTTCTGTCTATGAATAAGTGATATTCTCACTTGATTCCTAATCAGGATGTTATCATTCAAAAGCATACACTCGAGCATATAATTTTCTCTTCTGACTTTTAAGTTCACCCAGATGATATTTTAGGCTAATACTTATTCATACTGCTGCTAAACTTGTGAACTTTGTTTGGTGGCAGAATGTTTTTAGGAAGTGTGAGCAAGTATAATGTCATTGCTTACATGGATAAACCGCATTTGAAGACTGATAATGAGCTGATTCACACAACAAAGGAGATAGCTCGTCGACTGGAAGAAGTATATGATCTGTTTCCTTATAATCTTGTCTATTTTATATACAGTATATATAATTAGATAAAGTAACAAACATTGCCATAAAATACTTGTTTGTTTCATGAAATTATCAGGCCTCTTGTAACTAAAGTTATAGATAATTTCTCGGATATTCTAGACTTCTAGAGCCCCTCCCCCCCCCCCCCAATCAATTTGCTGGACTTATAATAACATATATGAATTGGATGGCTTTTCTTAATCCTGTTCTACTTGTCTCAACTGAATAATTGATTAGATTTAATGGTTTTATACAATATCATTCATGCTGCTATGACGTATTCTAATTGTATTCTAATTGTATTATTGTTATGACGTACCTTCTAATTGGATGAACTAACGAGAAATGGGCAAATTACATTGTCTAAAACTGGAATTTTTGTCCAACCCTTATTCTCACATAATGTTCTTCTCAGTCAAATGCATGTATCAATGTAAGAAAGGTACAATGTGGAGGTGAGGGAGGGTCCTTGTCCTGAACACATAGTTGACGACTAGTAATATAAATTTTACCTTGAATGGCTAAAAGTTTGCTAGTTTGTTTCCTTGATAGATGAACAGTTTTGTGTGATTTTTAGGTTCAACTTAAAGAGTAAACATCTGACCACTTATGCTCTACATTTCTTAATCCTGGTGTATAGACCAAGTGGCTTCTGCTCCAGTTACTAATTATTTGCTTCAGTTTTATTAAAGTTGTAATTTAAGGGACAAGTGTCTATTTTGGTTTGTAAATTCAATTTGTAAATTCAATTTGTAAGTTACTAATTACTATTTTGTAAAGTCAATTTGTAAGTTACTAATTACTATTTTGTAAATTCAATTTCAGATACCGTTGTTTTAGCAAAAGTAATGAATTAGTATATATGTCCTGTAACTGGCACTTTTAACCAGTGACTATCTCTTTATGAAATATAAATGTCAATGAAAGATCTTATTTAGCATTTTGAGCTTCAGGCAAAAAGTACTTCAAATCATGAAAATTTTATCAACCATATGTAAATGAGATAAATGTGTGTGAATGATATTGTACTAATGTACTTCGACTATCTCTCTCAACCTCTTATCATGTCAAATGAGCAATTAATTATTTGCTCATTTGTCAAATGAGCAATTATTTTTTGCTCATTTGTCAAATGAGCAAAAAAATTCAATGCTCCTTTGTCAAATGAGAAAACTATTTAATGCTCATTTGTCAAATGAACAATTAATTATTTGCTCATTTGACTAATGAGCAATTAATTTTTTGCTCATTTGTCAAATGAGCAAAAAAATTTGCTCCTTTGTCAAATGAGCAAATTGTTTAATGCTCATTTGTCAAATGAGCAAATTGTTTAATGCTCATTTGTCAAATGAGCAAATAAAAAATATTTTTGTTCATTTGTCAAATGAGCAAAACAATTCAATGCTCCTTTCTCAAATGAGCAAAAAAATTCAATGCTCCTTTCTCAAATGATCAAACTATTTAATGCTCATTTTTCAAATGGGCAAATGATTCTTGCTCATTTTGTCAAATTAATGCTCATTTGTGAGTGTGTTTGAATGTTTTAAATACGTTAGCCTACTAGCTCAAGGGTAGAGCATTGTGCAAATGCACAAAAGATGTGGGTTCGAATCCCACGTAGGTTCATTTATGTAAGTGGAGACACAAGTTTGTATGAGAGTTTAATTGTAACAAAGTTTATATAGTTATAAATCATTTCAAACCATTTTTTTGCTCATATAATTAGTACGAATTTGATTTTTTTTTTTAATTAATTTTGTTTATTAAGATAACCTATGTAGGAATTCAACCTACATCTCCTATGCATTTGCATAGTGCTCTACCAATTGAGCTAATAGGTTCACATATGACATGTTGCAAATTTAAAATCCAACTACGCTGCAAATAGGAAATATCAGGGTTTTAGCTTTAACAAAAGTGATTGCTCATATAGTCGTACTATGTTAACTGCTATATAGGAAAGCACAGCCCTGTAATTTACAGCGTGTACAACAGCAGAAACCACATTCCAAAACTCATAAAGTTTGTAAGTCACCTCTTCCTCTCTTCACCTTCTTTGGCAAAGAAGGCTATAATAAATTAGTAAAAGTTGGACATTACTACTCTACTTGCAATGCCTATTTGTTGAACCTCATTAACATCAATTTTTATCAGCCAAGCTAGAATCACAATTCCTTTATTGATAAAAAAAACAACTTGTCAACTGATAAAATTTATAAACAAGCAAGAGAAATGCATGACTAATGACTATGCACTATACCGAATGCTCCAGGAAAATAAAAAAAACATAATCAGCATTTATTACAACTAGAATTTCAGATGCCCATAACTTTAGAGCAAGGAACAAATGAACTTGCCGCCTACCTGTATGATACAGATTAAAGTATTTGAAGTAACTCAATAGAACAGGAAAAGGCAAGAGTCCGCAAGACAATAGTTAGTTCACAAAAAATATTTGAAGAAGAGTAAAGAACATGAGAAATAATCGTGATTAACTACCACCTAATAATATTGTGCAACAGAGAAGTACTACCATAGATATAAGATTCTTTTAATAAAAAAAGAAATACAACGGATGAAACGCATGACAAATCAGAAAATGCATGCAGGCTGAGAGCCCTTGATTGATCATCTTGCTTCACATCACATGCTCCACAACTCTTTCTTCAAAGCCCATGACACAATGGTTGATGACTCTATACAGCACAAAGAGTTTCCAATTAGAATGAACACGTTTAAAATTAGAATTATAAGTTTACACAAGACATTTGTCAGCCGTCCCTCAACTATTTGAAGTTTAAACTATGAGATCTAGCACAAAATTATCATTAAACTAGCCAAGACATCACACGGCACACCAAAAGAAATATCAGACCAAGATTTAAATCACAAGCCACTATTATTGAATGCTCTCTAAATGATCATCAGTGTTTTCGGTAGCTAATCTACTTAATGTGAGGAGCTTCATACACAACAGCTACACATTAAGTCAATACACAAACCAACAAATTTAGACAGAAAAAAATTCGACAATTAACACAGGTTAATGGTGCACATACCGTATCCTGAGTGACGACCCTTCCTCTTCGCCTTCATCATACGACGAGCACGAGACCTTGAATGAATCTTGGTAGGCTTCATAATAATGAAACCATCCTTAACCAACTTTTTGATATTTTGAACTAAACAAATCAATTAAACATAAATTCCTATTCATTCATATCTTACAGTAATATAAACTTCAATTGCATAATGAAGCCATATCAACTCCAACGAACTTTACAAAACCATTACAAGATCACAAAATCATCAAGGCAAATATAACAGCATATAACTTATTCATAATATGAACTAATTCATTCAACTTGATCAATTAAATAATTTCTTCCAAAATGAAAACCGAAATTCGCAGATATATCGTCATTTGCAAATTCAAGTTTTTAGAATAAACACTAATGAAATCAATTAACAAATATAATTCACAAAAAATTACGATGTTTTCATAATACTTCCTACAATTCGATCAATAATACATTAAACGATCACTATTTTCCAGAAAAATCACATAAAAAAGCACTACATCAACTACCGTAAGAATTTATAGGGTTCTAATTTAGATAATCATCAGAAAACGTAGAAAAACAATAAAATCTGACGATCGATTGAAAATAACTAAAACAAAAAGACAACTGAAGAAAATAGAAATCAAAGAATACAGAAAGAACTTACGAGAGTTAGCCATGGAGATTTCATTGCCTGCATTAGGATCAAGCCAAACCTTACCACGACCACACTTAAGAATATCCGCGGCGAGTCGCTTCTGAAGCTTCAAAGACAATGGAGAGGAGAGATGCGTGAGAAAATGGAGAGGAGGAGAGAGAAAGGACAGAAAAGAGATGAGAATGGAGAGGAAAGAGAACGTGAGAGTGGAGATCTTAGCGGTTGGATTTCATAAAATCTGACGGTTGGTATTGGTTCTCATATAGATGCTAGTTCTCACATAAAGGGTGGTTCTCACCGGAACTCGACCCTATATATATATATATATATATATATATATATAAGTGAGAATAGGTCTATATGTGAGAACCCTATTATATATGAGAACAAATTCAACCATTGGATACCTCATGATCCAACTGTTGAGATTGCTCACATAGTAATGGCAAAAATGTAATTTACATTTTTTTGGCTCATTTTGAGCAATAATTTTAATTATTTGCTCATTTATCAGATGAGCAACAATTCTTTGTTCATTTATCAGTGTGCAAAAAAAAAATTAATTTTTTTTTAATGTTATTCTTTTTATTTGTTTTTTTTTTTCTCATTTATCAAATAAGCAACATTTATTTGTTCATTTATCAAATGAACAAATAATTTTTGTTCATTGGATAAATGAGCAAATAATATTTGCCTATTTGATAAATGAGCAATAATTCTTTGTTCATTTAAATGAGCAAACAATATTTGACTGTTTTGTTTGCCCATTTATCAAATGAGCAACTATTCTTTGTTCATTTATCAAATGAGCAACAATTCTAAAACATTCAAACTAATATGAAACCTTGAACTTACAATATCTAAAAATGTAAACAATTGTTGGACCATAAAAGACCAACCGTATACTAGTTTATATTATGCACTTCATTTTCTGCCTATTTTTAAAGTAGATAGTTCACAAGGTTAATTTAATACATGTTGTTCTGCTAATATCCTTCACAAATGAGCAAACTAAATTAAAATGAGCAAAAACACATACAATAAAAATGCATAAATGAAAATGAACATACTTATATTAGAATCTCAGAAAATTTCTCTATACTATCATCACATAATACAAACTCATTAAACAAATTTTCTGATAAGGATTCTAACCCCTTGTTTAGTCAAGATTTTAGAAAACCCACAATCTTGAAATAAAGAACCAATCTTGAAGGATTTCTTTAAGATTGAACAAAAACGAACCGATATTTCTCCTCACAAGATCACTCCTGAAACTTATGATTCGAATCCCCAAATTAATTAACCCACTCCTGGACGCTAATTATTTTGAGATTAAACTCTTAGCCTACTCCTAGACACTAAGTTTTTAATGTTCTAATCTTCAACCAACTCCTTGAATTGAAAACTAGCAAAACGTTTAAGTAAAAAGCTAAACAATGAATTTTTATTCAACTGAATTTTTGTGTATTTGTTATGTATCTACAAAGCCACGAAAATAAGCTTTTATAGGCCTCAAAAGAGGTCTCCTAGTCCTCCTAGAAGTAGAAGATCTAACCTAGATAGGATTCTAATAATCCTACATAAGATAGAATTTCAATCCTATCAAAGATAAGATTGCTAGGTAGTTTATTCCTAATCAAACTCTAACTAACTAAAAACTTTCCTAATCACCTTAGGAAGTTTATAGCAACTAAATGACAGAAAAAATAAACTTATCCTAATTGCTTAAACCAAGAAAAACCCTTTCAAGTGAAAGGTAAAAACTTGCAAGCAAAACTCTAGAAATAAACTAAGTATATAAAAAAAATCATCCTTTTAATGTCGCCGCCACCACACCACCACACGCGCCGGCTCAGGCTGCAGCTGGGTTTAAGGTGGTTCCGGGAAGGTGGCGCGTGGGCCCCATCTCGGCGCGTGGCCATTGTGCTCCTCGCCGGAAGTGAACTGCTCCATTTCTTCTTCTTTGCAAATCATGCTTCCTTCTTTCCCTAGTGAACTAGTGGACCTTTCCTTGTTTATTTCTTTGTTTGGGCAGCCCATAATGAAGCTATTTGGACCTTTTAAAAGTGTCTTGGACCCTTCAAAAGAATTAGCCTCTTGATTCACATCATTCTCCCCTTCTTCAAAAGAATTTGCCCTCAAATTCACATCATCAAAATAAGTAAAGAGGTTTTCAATGTTAAATGTAGAATCTTTATCACCACTTTCACTAGAAAAGTCTTCTTGGTACTCACCATCTTCACAATAGTTATCTTCTTTATTAATAAGACATGTCTTGGGTCCTCTATCGATCTCTTCCTTGAACATCTTTTCCCTTAGAAACAAACTTGAACTTCGGTCAACATGTGAGCACTTAGCAAGTCCTTTATGAGACAAAGGTTGTAGACTAAAAAGTTTATTTCCAACCTCCACTGAATACACATTGGTCTTTCCATAATGTTTAACCTTTCGATCAAATTGCCATGGTCTTCCCAAAAGTAAGTGACAAGCATTCATTGGAATCACATCACACCATATTTCATCTTGGTAATTTCCTATGGAGAAATTTACTAGTGTTTGCTTCTTAATTTGAAAACCCTTTGAATCATCAAGCCAATTTACTTTATATGGTTTTGCATGAACTCTCGTAGGAAGATTGAGTTTAGTAACCATCTCCGTAGAAGCCACATTAGTGCATGAAACACTATCAATTATCACCTTACATGTGGTATCACTTACTTTGCAACGAGTATGGAATAAACTTTCACGTTGAAATTTGTTAGGGTTAGCTTCGGCATGGAGGATCTTCCTTACCACAAGCACTCTTTCATCATCTTCGGGATCAATCTCATCTTTCATCATCTTCCGTTTCAACAACCTTTTCCTTTTTATCTTGAGGAACAAATTCATATTTTATTTCCTCTTCAGTCATGGCTTCATATTGCTGTATAGTAAGAGTTCTTCGACTTGGACAATCTTTAAGTTGATGTCCTCTTCCTTGGCACTTGAAGCAGCGCATTTTGTCTTCATATTTCTCCTTAGAGACATAAACTTTTTCCTTTTTCCTTTTTCCCTACCTCCTTTTCACTATTCTTCAAATTTTCAGATTTTGATGCAAAATCTTTGGAAGATTGATTATAGAACTTAGAAGTAGAACCTTGCATATAGCTTGTATTAGTACTCTTAGAAGCACTCGGTTTCTTATCTTCATTCCAATGTCTCTCAATTTTCAAGGCTAACTTGCAAACATCATTGAATGTATTGTAGGTACTTAGCTCAACTTTTTTAGCAATAGGTCGATTAAGTCCCTTTATGAACCGAGCAATGCGCATAGTTTCTTTCTCATCCAACTCACAAATAGAAGTCAAACGATCAAACTCCGTGATATATTCATTCACGCTTTTAATATCTTGAGTCAAAGTGGCCAATTTCAAGTATTGAGTTTGCTCAAAATCATGTGGAAGGTATCTAGCACGCATCTTTCTTTTCAAATCCGTCCATGTCTTGATCTTACTCTTCCCCGATCTAGCACGTCGCGCTTTCAAAGATTCAAACCATGTTCCCGCATTCTTAGTGAGTCTTATATAAGCAATTTTGAATCGTTTCACATCATCGAACCCTTTATAATCCAAAATCTTCTCTAATTGCCTCTCCCACTCAAGAAAGTCTTCGGGGCTTCCTAGACCCGTGAAGTCATCAAGCTTAAAACCCTTATCATCAATTTTAGAAGACTATTTAGGCTCATCATCACTGCTAGAAGAACTATCATCACTATCTCTATGGTTTTTCTTCTTTTTATGATCTTGAAGTAATTTTGCAAAGGCATCAAACCTTGCATCAGCACGATCAGTCATCTTTTCCTCTAAAATCTCAAATCTCTCTTCAAATCTTTCAATTAATCTGTTTAAAGCTTCTTCTCCCATGATTTATACACAAAAAAATGCGCACAAAACAAAGCAAAAAAAACCAACCAGAGTATAGCAGTAGCACGGAAGAAAATTATATGATCAAAACACCTTAAAAATACCCAAGAACACACAGGAAAATCCCAGAAAAAATCGCTGCACAATTCGAGCAAAAACGAACTAAAACAGAAGCATGTATCAATTCGGACCAAAACAGACCAGTACGCACAAAACAGACCAGTTTAATAGCAAACGATGTCTAAAAATTCTGACATTTTGCATTCCAAAAGTAAACATAAAAATAACTAGATTCAAAAAACGAATCACCTAAAAAGCTTCTGTAATGAAGGAGAACGAGCCAAAACAAGTTTGCCTTGCAAACAGAATCCTACGAGAACACAGAAGTTAGAAAACGAATTGTGACGATTCTCCCCTTTAAATCTGATACCAATTTGATGTGGATTCTAACCCCTTGTTTAGTCAAGATTTTAGAAAACCCACAATCTTGAACTAAAGAACCAATCTTGAAGGATTTCTT